AACCCAAGATGAACCCAACTCTCACTTGGGTTCGCGATGAACCCACCCAAGCATGCACTGGCTACCCAAAAGCAATCGGCCCCTTGAAATTGGCCCCATGTGTTTAAGATCCTGTTTCTCATAGATCTTGGAATATTCTGCTTGACTTGATTGTTTGAATGAGATTTTCATTGTACTAAGTTTATGAACCAAAAATAAAATTTACAGATTTGAGTTTACTTTCATGTGTGTGTCTCATGATGTTTTAATTTCCTGAATTTTTTGCTGCTCTTGGGTTCATTTCTAATTCTATTGCTGGATGTTTCTGGAGTTGTTTGTTTAAGAAGAACATGCTTTTTTTTTTGGTAGAGATTGAGAACCTAGCTCGCACCTGACTTCGTCACGAACCCAGATGCAAGTTGGGTTCGTTGCCAACCTAGTTATGTGAGATGGGTTCATCCTGGGTTCACGAAGAACCCAAGACGAACCCACCCAGGCGTGCTCTAGGTTCGTCGCGAACCCAAGATGAACTTGGGTGCGATGAACCTAAGTCACACCTGGGTTCGCAATGAACCTAGCAAAGGTTTAAAAAAAGAAAAAGAAAAAAGAGATGATAACGGAGGGAAAGGAAAGGATAAGATAGAAGGGGGAAGAACATGGGGCAAATTAGTGAAGATTTAAGCTTTAATTGAGATGAAGATTGGTGTGAAGATTTGAGGGCTTTGATGGAAGAAGGTTTGGCGAAGAAGAAGAAATCAATGGATGAGAGGGGGATTAAGTTCAGGCAAAGGTAGAGAGGATCGAGGATTTGGGCTTAGGAAGAAGATGAGGATAGAAATGGGAAATGAAAAGACAAAGGGAAAAAATGATTTTTTCTTTTAATTATTTTAAAACTTATTGATTACATGGAAAATAAATTTGATTTTCAACTCATCAATTTTGCAACGTGTAATCATATGTCACCATTAAAATGAAAAAAAAAAAAAAAGAAGCCATTTAACGGATTATTGTGTCATGCTATCACTTAACTAACAGAAGGACTAAAAAGGGTTGGATTTCAAACAGTAAAAACCAAAAAGGAAGTTTTTTCGATACAGGGACTAAAAAATGGCTTTTTCCTATAATAGAGTGACCAAAAAAGATATTTAACCTTTTATAAAATCTTTTACTTTCATTGTGGAGTTTGGATTAACCTATTAATTTTTTTAAAATAAGTGCTTTTAATTTTTAAAAAATCCTAGAATATTTGAAATATTCTAGAATGAGTTTACTAATGAAGTATCAAGTTTAGCTCTTTTTATGAACATATCTAGGATTTCATATGGTATTTTTTTTATGTGAGAAAAAATTTAAAGTGAATCAATTAAGATATAACCAAATTTTAATTTCATTAATCTTTGATATACTATTTCTCCCTTTTATTCCTTTTTCTTATTAAATTTGTAAAGCAATGGCTTCGTAAGATTAATTTTATATGATATTCTAATTTAATTATTTATTTTCTTCTTAAGTGATAAATATTTAATTCGTAAAAACCTACCCAAAACCAATTTAAATTTCAAATAAAAACATTTAAATTATTTTAATGTAAATTCTCTATACTCACAGAAACGGAGATAAAGAATATTTTTTACCTTCTATCAAAAGTCTCTACAAAAATTTTCATAGCCGTTATTGGGGGAGGCCGGGAATGGGGAAGGGATTCCTAACCCCATGGGGACCCGTTCGAACCCCTATGTTTAACTTTTGATACCACAAACTAAAGTTAAAGCAAGGTTAAGCCGAGCCGTGGACTTTTGACATTTATCCACATGAGCCTTCAAACAAGAAAATCTGGCACTCAAGCCATTGGCAGGTTCTGAATCGTGATATCTAAATAGGCGAATGGGCCCACAGTGTTAAGCATCAAATCAATAATGTACTTGGATTTATGTGTTACAACAAAGGATATGGAGCCCATTAAGCAAAGTGGGCGGCTTGCTTTTGCTTTGACCCAACCAAATAATTTCAAATTTTCAAGAGACTAATGAATATGACTCAGTAATCACGACCCACCATTTTTTTTTTCAACTGGATAACTGTTTCAGTTGACTCACCGAACAGATGAGGCAGTATTCTTCTTCCTTTTTTTTCTTTTTTTTTTTCATTTTATTTATTTATTATTAAAATTTGTCTTCTTCTCAATTACCCTTTAGCCAATGTATAATCACTTAAAAATAATTAAGAAGCATTTTTAACCGGATGTGCTTATGATATAAATAAAAAATATATTAATTATATATTTTTTAATAATTATTATAAAAATAAAAATTTATATTAATTTTATTAATTGTTTAAATAAAAATATTCACATGACATTAGTTAGTGTTTACACCTAATTTTACAACAAATGGAGTGCTGCCACGTGTCACCTATGATGGCAGATATTTTATTAGTTGGTGTGAATTTCTTCAGATGAGATTGAGTGGTTATTTCCACAACGGCAGCAAAACCGTTCTTTTGTTGCG